CCCCCACACCTCTGGTCTATACCCCAGTTCTTGTTTGCATAAATAAATAAAAAATCTTTAAAAAAATAAATAAAAGACTTAAAGGATGTAGAATCTTAACTTGCTGCACTTCCTTCTCTGTTCATACTCCCTTTCCCAGTGAACATTTACCACACTCTCAAATGTAATTTGAGTCACTAAATACATCCATTCCTATGAATATGCAGAAAAAAGATTTAAAGAGTGTTATATTAATTCTCTGCTCCTAACATAAGTTGTTCATTTTTAAATATGTTGTAAGACTGGGTATTTCAGATGAGATCGGGTGCATTCAGGGTGATACTGCCATAGACAGACTAGGTATTTCAAATGAGGATTTAAGTTTGTCCCCTATATATATAAATGCATGACTAAACTGAACACAAAGGCTGAAATATGAGTACCTTCTAAGAGGAGACAATCTAGTCTAGAGTCATTCCTCTTCTCATCAATGCAGTGGGAAGGTGTAATAATGCAGAGGGGATTTTAACAATTTCATTTCCTCAATTTGGCAGCAAACTCATTTTTTTCTATGAATTTTAACATGAAATGTACACAATGTATTTGTTAACTAACTCTACTTTTGTTATGTAGCAACAACCTCTTCAACATCTAGAAAGATTTGATGTTTTAATTTAGAACACTTGTCTTTGTAGACGATATACACAACTAAATAAAACAAAATGAGACATAAGGGAAATGGTTAATCTTGCCTAACTATAAACATTGATATAAAGCCCCATGGATTTTTTTCTCCTCCTCCCTCCCTGACCTAGCACAAATATAAAAATAATGTGCATTACCCAGAGCAGTGGCCTAATTATTGTGACCATTCCATTTCCAAAAGACATTATTTCCTATGAATTTTAACAAAAGGATTTCTACAAAATGTGTTTTACTGTCTCTACTTTGACATATTTTGTGCATTTCTAAGCATCCAGAGAGACTAGCTGTTTCCAATAAGGATTTTGTTTGTCTACTACATGCACTAAATAAGCTACACATGTGACAATGGTTCAGTCTAGAAGTGTCTTCTAACAGGAATATTCTAGTTTAGAACAATTCTTCCTATCTACTACCAACCCAGTGTACAGTGTGGGCACATGTGTAACTTAGATGTGATTTAAAATTTCATCTCTGTTGTTGCTTGTTTTTTTGATATGTGCCATTCTTACTGGTGTAAGGTGGTATCTCAGTGTGGTTTTGATTTGCATTTCCCTGATTATAAGGGATGTTGAACATTTTTTTCATATGCCTGTTGAACATTGGTGAGGATATAGTGAAAAAGAAACTCTCCTATATTGCTGGTGGGAGTGCAAACTGGTCCAACCACTATGGAAAGCTGTGTGGGGCTTCCTCAGTCTACTAAAAATGGAGCTATCATATGACCTGGCAATTCCACTACTAGGGATCTACCCAAAGGACACAAAAACATTGATTCAAAAGAACCACCTGTACACCTATGCTTATTGCAGCACTATTTACAATAAGTAAAATTTGGAAACAACCCAAATGCCCAAAAATAGATGACTGGATCAAGATGTGGTATATATACACAATGGGATATCATTCAGCTATCAAAAAGATAAACTTATGCCATTTGCGCCAACATGGATGGAGCGAAGAGGAATTATGCTCAGTGAAATAAGTCAGAAGGAAAAAGAAAAATATCAGATGGTTTCACTTATAGCAGGAATATAGGGAAATCAAATAAGACACCAGTGTAAAAAAAATAATAACAGTACAAAACACAACAAAGCAAAAACAGACAATTACAAATCAGAGACATACTGCAGGGGAGGAGGAGGGAGAGGGATCAGAGAGAGGGAGGGAGGAAAACAGGAGACTGCGGTGATGGTGCACGGGTACCTTGGGGAAGGAAATTCTATGGGGACTCAACCTGAGGGGTTGGGGGGAAGAAAATATTGTTTAAAAAAATTAAAAATTAAAAAAAAAGTCACTATCTGAACTTGGAATGACCCAGGAAAATACTGAAGGCAGAGGGAGGGAGAAGCCATAAAAAAAAAAAAAAAATAAAATAAAAAATAAAGGGGTGGCGCAGCGGTTGAGCACTGGGTTGCGAAGCTGCCCGCAGCCTCTGCAGAGCCGGTTCGATCCCCGGCTGCTCCCCGGCCAGCAGGTGAGGGTCCCAAATGGCGCGCAGACCTCTCCTGCCGCCCGCTGCTCCCCTCAGCAGTGTACTTCGGTCCTTCTGCCTGCTCTGCTCCCCGCTCTGGCTCTGGTGAATTCTCTCACCCTCCCGCACTTCTGACTGTACCCAGTGCTTGTATAAATAAATAAATAAATAAATCTTAAAAAAAAAAAAATTCATCTCTGAATGTCTTTTTCAAAGGTCTTACAATGAATTTCAACACAAAGTATACAAAATATGATAGTTTACTAAGTCTACTTTTGTCATACATTTGCAATCTCTAATATACTGGACTAGTATTAAAATGTTAGGCCCCATTTGTCCAGTACATATAAAATATATACAGTAAAGTGGGTCTCCCCCTGGTGGCGCAGCAGTTGAGCGCTGGGCTGCAAAGCTGCCCACAGCCTCAGCAGTGATGGTTAGATCCCACGGCTGCCAGCGAGGGTCCCACATGGCGCGACAGACCTCTCCTGCCACGCCCGCTGCTCCCCTCAGCAGTGTATTTCATCAGTCTGCCTGTTTTGTTCCCTGCTCTGGCTCTGGTGAATTCTCTCACCCTCCCGCGCTTCTGACTATACCCAGTGCTTGTATAAATAAATAAATAAATCTTTAAAAAAATATACAGTAAAGTTAAATGAAATTTATATAATAAACAGGTAATTGAATAAACTAATATTTTCGAGTACACACTTGCAAAACATCCTTTGCGATTTCCTCCCTCCCACCTTCCTCAGCCCAGTGAGTAATGACAGGGAATATAACTGTTCATTGAAGTGGTTTAACAATTTCATTTCCATCGATATTTCCCATTCATTTTTTTTAAATGGTGATTTTTAATTTATTTTTATTTTTTTAGTGGGACCCTCCGGTTGCGAACCAGCACTGCAGAGGCTGCAGGCAGACTCACAGCCCAGCGCTCAACTGCTGCGCCACCAGGTGAGGCCCTTTCCCATTCATTTTTAAAAGCTATTCACAAGCAGCATTATTCTACTATACTTTTAAATATATAAAGTACTTCTAACAATCTAGAAAGACTGGGCATTACACACAAGAACTTACTTGTATAATATGTACACAACACTATTACATAAAACTGCACACACATAACAGTGGTTATAATATGGCGTATCTTGAAATATGACCATTTTGGCCTGCACTACTCCCTCCCTTCCTTCCTTCTCTCCGCCACCAGTCTGGTGGACAGGTGCAAGCTTGTGTAATGCTTACTGGTGATTGAACAAATTCCTATCAAAAGTCATTTATAGAAGGCAAACTTTGATTGTCAATGCAAAGTGTATAAAATGTGCTAATTTTACTAACTACTTTCTCATACACTGACAACCTCTTTAACAACCTCTTTAACATCAAGATTAGATGTTGCAAAATCAGAATGAATTTTTCATTATATTCACTGTGTACACAACAAAACAAAATGCACATGACACGCAAAACATGATTGTGTCTGAAAGTGTCCAGGTATGAGCACACTGACATACAATATTATCTTTTGCAATTCTTACACTCCTGCCTCCTCCAAACCACTGAACAAGTTTAAATAAGTGTATATATCACACACAGAGGTGGTTGAATAATTACATTCCCAGAAGACATCATTTCCTATTAATTTCAGCAAAAATGATATTTGCAAAGTGCTATTCCTCTACTTATACTTTTAATGTATGTTGGGAACTTTCAAACATGTAGCAGGATTAGATGTTTGAAATGAGGACTGAATATCTCTATTTTCTATACAGTGCTCTTGCAACAGTTAAAATTTGAAAGTGTCTTAAAATATGAACATTTTATTGACCTAAGACCTACCTTTCCTCTCTCTCCCTCTTCTACCAACCCATTGGGCTGTCATGTTCGCATGTGCCAGGAATTTTAACACAAAGTGTATTTATTAACAAACTCTATGTTTGTCATATATGGACAACATCTTTAGCACCTAGAAAAGCTACATATTGAAAATCAGGACTTGTTTTTCCATCATATATTCTACATACATAGAATTATAAAACAAATGCACAAACATAAGAAGCAATGATTTTGCCTCACTATAAACACATAGGCCTACAGCTCTTCACACTGTCTTCTCCTCACTCTTCCCCTTGACTTGTGCACAAGCACAGTGCTTCCTGCTCAAGCAGGTGGTTAGGCCATTTCCCATAACGTAATATATCATATGAATTTTAAGAAAAAAATTTACAAAAACTATTTTTTATTACTTCTACTTTTAACATATATCAAATACTTTAGAAAGTCTAGAAAGACTAAATATTTCAAAAAGTAGTTAACATTGCCAACTATGTGTACAGTAGTGAGGAATAAAATACACATTCAAAACAATGATTATAATATGAAAATGCCATCTAAAAACGGCCAGTCTTGGGCCTCCCTGGTGGCGCAGAGGGTTGAGTGCCACATTGTGAATCTGTTCACAGCTTCTGCAGCATGGGTTCGATTCCCGGAAGGCCAGGGAGAAACCCACATGGTGTGGCAGACCTCTCCTGCCTCTCCCACTGTTCCCCTCAACAGTGTCTTCCTTCCGTCTGCCTGTTCTGCTCCCCGCTTTGTCTCTGGTGAATTCTCTCACCCTCCCATGCCTCTGACTGTACCCCAGTTCTTTTATAAATTAAAAAAAAACTTATAAAAAATAAATAATAAAAACAAAAATGACCAGTCTGGCATAGAGCTGAAACAGTGCAATACAGGTCAAAGGACAATTCAAAGGTGGGGGACAGGTCACTGTCTATGGGTTCTCACCCATGCGCTCAACTGCAAGCCTACTCAGGCTGAGGGATCAACTACAACAGGATTTACTTACAAAGGAGAGAGAGTATTTGGGAGAAAGGGGCAGGGCCAGAGGTAGCAGCAATGGTTCGAAGGCCACAAAGATGTCAAGTCATCAAGGTCTTGAAGGTCTCACTTGAGGGGGCACACAGCAATCAGCAGAAGCAGTCCAAGTCAGCATCAGTAATCTGAAGGCTGGATACCAGACCAGATGATACCAATGGTAACAGCATAAGGGGGTGATGCCAGATGAGTTAGAGCTCCTGAAGATGCTGGGCCTAAAGCCAAAGCAACCACCTCTTTCAGGGATACCCTGCACAGGTGTCATTCAGCAGGAAATGTTGGAGGCAGTGTCAGAGGTCAGGTCTTTGAAGGCATGGTGCCAGAGGACAGAGTTCAGTGTTATACTTTAGCAAAGTTCTTCTGGATGAATCTGATGGCATCTCCAACTGCCTCTTCAAGCTCCTTTCCAAGTTCCCCACCACGCAACTCCTCAAAGGTGGTTGGAGGCTGGCTTAAATATGCTACAGGGTGCCAGCTTTTGAACCTTATTGGTTCTATTAGTTGATTGGCATCCACAGGAGCTCCAATCAGATTGGTAGCTTTTAATTCTATATTTGCATAACTGCCAAAAAGTGTGTGTGGGGGGATACACCAGAAACTAAGGCGTTTTGAGAGGGAAGACTCTAATTCCAGTTGCTTGATTGGTGCTGGTCAAGCTCCAAATAAATAGATTCACCCTTAATTATGTCCTGAAGCCTGATATTAAAGGGAAAATGCTGGTCCCTGCCCAGACTGGACAACGTTGAGGTGAGGACAGGATCCTGGGTTGGAGGGCTCCAAGGAACTAAGTGGGGTTCTACCTTATACACAAACTGTACCCTGTGCTGGGTTTAATAATTTAGGGGGCTGCCTTCAAGGGTGGACTCTGCTTCAGAACCTTCTTTCCTTTCTCCTCAATGTCTTCTTTGTGTCCTCTATCCCACCGAATAACATGACCGTGTGTCACTCCTGATTGCTGGAGGTGGACTAAAATTTCCATATCAAAATGTCATTTCCAGAAGACATTTCATTTCCATGATGTTTAAAAAAACAAAGGGGCAGTTACAAGACCTGGGATTTTCTAACTCTACTCTCTATCATACCTGGGCATCCTCTTTACATATGGAAGGCCTAGATGTAGAAACTTTTATTTTAAAAGGTTGGGGTGGGATGGTATGGGCAGGTGCCTTCAGGTCGCAATGGTGGGGCTGTGTGAAGAGATTTGCTGCTATTTTGAGGCCCTGGCCAGCAAGTGGGGTTCAATGAAAGTTCAGGATTTCTATCTATTTCAGGCTCACCAGTTTACCCAATGGCCAAAGACAGACAGTCTAAAGGGAAATAGGATGTGTGTGTGCACACCTGAGTGCTACACGCCTGCCAATCAGCTTCTCTCTAAACTGACTGAAATTTTAAATCTGTGTTGGCTAAAGAACCTCACCATCCACTAAACAATATGTAAACCAAGGACTTTATTTAGGAGCACATTGAAATGTATAAATTAACTTAGAAAATCCTGGTATGTTAAAAACCCTAAGTGTCTCTACCTAAGAGCAATGTGTTAGTTTATCTTTATCTGGTCAATTTTCTATTGATTCCCTCTTCCCTCCCATCCACTCATATTCCTTGAAATCTTTCTCCATTTATGACAAGTCTGTTCATTTATTTTCTTAGTTCTAGGTATTCTAGAAGGTACAAAGTAGACAGTGATTCTACTCTCAAGCTGTCTTTAGTCTTTTTTTTTTTTTTAAAGATTTATTTATTTATACATACAGGAACTGGGGTACAGGCCAGAGATGTGGAGGGTGAGAGGATTCACCAGAGACAGAGTGGGGAACAGAACAGGCAGATTGACTTAAGTACACTGCTGAGGGGAGCAGCGGGCAAGTCAGGAGAGGTCTGCTGCACCATGTGAGTTTCTCCCTGGCTGGCTGGGAATGGAAGTTGGTGCTGCAGTGGCTGCGGATAGCTTCATAGGTTGCGTCTTAACCACTTGTACCACCAGGGAGGCCTGATCTTTAATTTCATAATGAAGATGTTTTTAGTTATAATTCCAAATTGGGAGATAAAGTATAATTCCAAGTTGAGAGATAAAGAAAAACTTTTTGTGGATTTAAATAGTCTAAAAAGAAAGAAAAGGTCTTCACTGCCCCTTTCTATTTACTGAACTATTAAATTAATGCACTAAAGGGCAGTGGGAAGTAGGAAGTGTATGATCTTTGGGATAGACACAAATTCATTGTCCAGTTGGGGAAACTTGCCTCAAATTTGTTACTAGCATTTTAGCACCAACATTCCAAAATGTAAATACTCATTTTATTTTTAGGTCAGTTACAGAGACTTAAAGAAATACTGTTTGTACAATGTTTATTAACTATCTCGTGACTTGTAAATTATAATGCTTCTTCTAACACACTTCTCATTGCATGACTCAACTCATCAAGGAAAAGCATTTGAAATGCACTCAAACAGCTGTATGCTTTTACTTATGCCATGTCTGTAATAACAAAATTGTCTGTCTTCTTTAAAGTTATTAAATGTCACTTGAAATGTAAAGTTTTAAGAATCATGATTAAAAATAAGTCAATAAATAGAACAAAAAGACTTGTCTGATATCAAATACAAGTTTATTCATATAGGTTTTGTACGTTACTCTAAAATATTTAGGCACACTTTTTGACTTTTTTCTTATCTTGTTGTGCAAATGAGTTTGCCTATTCTATATATCTTCTCAATGATTATTGATTAATGATGCATCTTTTTATAGTGCAATTTAACTAGTATAGAATTCTGCAAAACAGGGAAAAGTGACACAGTTATAAATGCAGATGTTTTCTGCAACTCAACCTAAGTTAATGTAGACTATCAATCCATAACTTCTTATCAAAAATGCATTAAGGATGTGTATGTCTAGGATATAATTAAACTGCAACTCTGTTGATAATTGTAAAACTATTGATTTCCCCTCATTTATTTTATTTTATCTTCCTAAATTTCTATGGATTTAACCATAAACCCACAGTTCTTCAAAAGAGAAGTTATTGCTATCAGTGTTTGGACTGTGCAGTAATGCTATAATAAATTGTTCTTAAGAACCAAAAAATTCTTGAGATTTGATTCACTAAAGTGACATATGGAAAGATGGTATAAGCTGAAATAAGCAATTAAAGAGGTAGATGTCTCCTTGGTCTCAATTGAGAGGAGCAACTAAAACGCCGACCAAGGCACAACTGGATTGACCTTGCAAAGAAGCTGTGTCAGCAGCAGCAAAAAGCTGTTTCTGAGCAAATCAGTAATTTCAAAAAAAGACAGAATTCAAGCTATGACATTGCTAAAAATTCCAGTTCCTGGAAGGTAAGACTCTAAATAGATTAAGTTTAACAACGCTCTTTGTTTTTCTAAATACATAAAGTACCTCAAAGGGATACATTAACTGGAAGCTTTCTTTGTGAAAATCACAGAGAATGTAAAGTGTTTTCCTTGCAGATTGTATAACATGCTCACCATGAGACTCAGAAATTAGATAGCTTTCCCAGAGCGCCTGGAGGTTGTACCCTGGTGTAAGCGGTCAGTCTTAATTCTTTAATAAACTCACTTATTTTCTTGGTTCAATTTATTTAAGTCATATAATAGCATGTCTTTAAGACATTAATTGTTTGGGGGGTGGTGGCAAGATTGACACCATAATGTCTACTGTGCATGAGGGGTAGGGGTTTCTTTTAACAGTTTGATATATAACTCACATACCACAAAATTCATTTAAAGTGTACAGTTCAATGTTTTTCTTTTTTTTTTTTTTAATAGAGGCATGTTTTTATTTATTTATTTATTTATTTGTTTGTTTGTTTTGTTTATACATGCACTGGGTACAGTCAGAAGCGCGGGAGGGTGAGAGAATTCACCAGAGCCAGAGCGGGGAGCAGAGCAGGCAGAGGGACCGAAGTACACTGCTGAGGGGAGCAGCGGGCGGCAGGAGAGGTCTGCGCACCATGTGGGACCCTCCTCCGGTGGTAGGGGAGCAGCCGGGGATCGAACCGGCGCCGCAGAGGCCGCGGGCAGCTTCGCAACCCGGCGCTCAACCGCTGCGCCACTGGGGAGGCCCTCAATGTTTTTCAAGTACAGTAACAGAGTACACAACCTCATGATGTTGCAGTTTAGAACATTTTCAACACTCCACCAAAGAAACCAATACTCACTAGCAGCTACTTCATATCTCCTACTCTGAATCCCATTAGGTCCCTACTACTACCAATTAGTACCTACTAATGCCCTTCCATCTCTAGGCATGCCTCCTCCGGAAGTGTAATATAATTGGAAACACATAATATGTGGTCTTTTGTAACTGGATTCTCTCACTGAGCATATTTCCAACTGTTCATCCATGTTACAGGATACACCATTACTTCCTTCTTATGCTAAATATTTCATTGTATGATATACAATATTTATGTAGCCACTGATAAGTTGGTAGACTTTTGGGCTGTTTACATGTTTAGGCTCGTAGTGATAATGCTGATGTAAATTTTCACTTGCAAGTGTTTCTGTGGACATGTGTTCTCACTTCTCTTGGTATATATGAGTGTAATTGGATCATATATGATCCAATTAATTGGGTAACTCTGGGTTTAGCATTTTGAGAAAGTGTCCACAGTTTTCTAAAGCAGATGCATCACTATTTTCTCATCAGCAGTATATGAGAATTTTAGTTTGTTTACACCCTCAGCAACACTTGTCTTTATCTGTATTTATTTTATTTTATTTATTTTTTGATTTTTTATTAATATTTTTACATCATTATTCATTTTTAAACAATATTTGCTTCCCCCATCTCCTCAAGTATAGTTCCCATAGAGTTTCCTTCACCAGTGCACCCATGCACCATCACCTCAGTCCCCTGTGCTCCTCCCTCCCTCCTTCTGATCCCTCTGTCTCCTCCTCCCCTGCAGTATGTCTCTGATTTATAATTGTCTGTTTTTGCTTTGTTGTGTTTTATACAGTTATTATTTTTTTACACTGCTATCTTATTTGGTTCCCCTATATTCCCGCTATAAGTGAAACCATCTGGTATTTTTCTTTTTCCTTCTGGCTTATTTCACTGACCATAACTACTTCTAGCTCCATCCACATTATTGTGAATGGCATGATTTTATCTTTTTGGATTGCCGAATAATATTCCATTGTGTATATGTACCACATCTTCTTGATCCAGTCATCTGTTTTGGGGCATTTGGGTTGTTTCCAGGTTTTACCTATTGTAAACAGTGCTGCAATAAACATAGGGGTACAGGTGGCCTTTTGAAGCAATGTTTTTGTGTTATTTTGGTAGATCTCTAGGAGTGGAATTGCCAGGTCATATGGTAGCTCCATTTTCAGTAGACAAAGTTACCTCCAGACAGCTCTCCATAGTGGTTGGACCAGTTTGCACTCCCACCAGCAGTGCAGGAGAGTTCCTTTTTCACCACATCCTCGCCAACATTTCTTGTTGCTTGTTTTTTTTTGATATGTGCCATTCTTACTGGTCTAAGAGGATATCTCAATGTGGTTTTGATTTGCATTTCCCTGATTATAAGGGATGTTGAACATTTTTTCATATGCCTTTTGGCCATTTGCATTTCCTCTTTGGAGAAATGTCTTTCGAGTTCTTCTGTCCATTTCTTGACTGGATTGTTTATTTTGTTTTTGGTGAGTCCTGTGAGTTCTTTGTATATCTTTGTGATCAGTCCCTTATCAGTTGAATGCAGTGCAGATTTTTTCTCAATAAGTGGGGTGTC